GGATTTCCTCACGAGCCGTGCAGGCCTCAGAGCTGCCGCTGCTGGTATGCCCCCCGGCTGCCACACTCGCTAGAGAGACGAAATCCACGTACTATGAATGTAAGTATTATATTCAGGTGCTCGAGATTAGATAATTGTTAACAGGCAGTCCGTAGCAGTCCCGTGGTTGTACGTGTTGAGTCCGTGGTTAATACGTGGTGTTGCAACAAAACTGTTATTAGCTTGCTAATTTGGTCCGTAATAGTCTGTTGGCCTCTCCGTTGCGTTTTGCACCATTTTATGTGGTTAGTCCGTGTTTATCCATTTATTTCAGAGTTAATAATATGGAAGTGTCAGGAACAAATTTGAACTCTTGGTATCTGCCTGTATTTGATTGATACTATATTCATAGCCATCCAGTTATAACATTAGATGACACCTCTCTGATATGTTGTCGCTTTCATTAGCCGTGTGTTACTCCAGTTTTCTGCTATCGTATTGTAACAAGTTGCATTTTAGCCATCCTGACATAGTCAGATGCAGCTTGTAGAATGCATTAGCGTGCGTCCGTCCGTCCGTGGTGTGCGGGTGTCAACAGTTGGGCAAAATCTAAACGTCGACGCTCAGGATTCGAAAGTCGGCGGCGGTGGGGGCCGGGTAATCGAAAACCGTAGTTGCGGATGTCGAGCTGTGCCCGGGGCGTCAAAGCGTCAAAGGTCAAGACGGTGATTAAAAGAAAGGCGGGGAACATTCCCTCTTAACTAAGTGTATAGAGAAGGAAATGCGAATTGCGGCACATTAAACGGTCTCGACCTAGGCCCGTTTGATAGTCGTTGTATAGCAATCATGCGTAGGAAAAAGCCAAGTCACTGTGCGAAATTGGAGGTCACAGTGTCAAAGGTCAATGGGGCACAGTGGAGATTTTAGACATTTTCTGGGGACATGGTCATAGCTTGACGGAGCGATTAGGAAAACTTTTTTGTTGTCTTCAGCGGTCGACTAGCATTTTATGCGCTTTATTGAAAGGGACCCATCGAAATGTGCTTCCATTGACGTGCCGGAAGAGTAAGTGTTGATAACCGTTTTGATCCCACAAGTAGCGAGGGATTTAACATGGCATTGTTAACTGTTATGTGTTAGAAAGAATTTGCACTGCTGGGTTTGCTAGTAGAATATCTATACATGCCTGGATGTTATGAGAGCTCAATGTACAGTGAAATTTCAAAAGCGTAATTTTGCCTTTGAAGAAGGTTTTGCTCCTTAAATCGATTGAATTTCTATCGGCTTCTGTACTTCAGTGTGTTAATATGCCACTGCCAGCACTGCCAGTGATGTGGTGGTGATATGTATGGTGTATTTTTGCCTTGCGTTATTGAGGCTAAGGTGGCAGTCTCTATTCCAGCCTGTAGGCCTTGTGTAGCCAGTCAAATAGACGAGTGCTTACCTATTCTGTCTTGCAAATAGTTGTTACTATACTACGTACGATCGGGAACTTCCAGCTACCAACGTACGCGCATCTCGTTGGCACTTTCACCCCCCCCCCCCTTAATGATCCAACGTACATTTCTTCAAGAAGGCTCCTGGATACACCATCCAGTGTTCAAATAGGGCTAATCCTGTTTGTTCGTATTGTCCATTCATGGATGACACAAGTAGATCTGTCAGGTAGCTGTTTGCTGGTACAAACCTTTTAGCAGCAATTTTCTCATAATTTTCTACCATCGCTGGGCCGCCTGCTGGCGAAACGTCCCCAGTTAACATTAGTATAAACATGGGCTGCGAGTGCCCACCCGAATAACAATATACCTATATGTATAAACATTTATGTGAAGTTATATAAAAACGCTTACCGCCTTGGCTAGGCTCACGAAACGGTTCTTGCTATGGGTTAGAGACATCAGACAATCAGTCTAGATAGACAATCAGACGATCTGTATAGACAATCAGTCGTACAGCCTCGTCCGCCCCAGCGCTAGCCTCGAGAAGATGAGAAATTTCGTGAGAGAGAGCTGAGACGACCGAGAGAGCCGAGAGAGAGAGCACGTGTAGGAGAGCGGAGAGAGAGGAGAGAAGAGAGAGAGAGGCATAGGAGAGAGAGCAGAGATGGCAGAGATGATCGAGAGGAGAGCGACGAGAGAGAGAGAGAGAGGGAGAGAAGAGAGAGAGTGAAGAGAGAGCGCAGAGCGAGCTGATAGAGAGATGAGGAGGAGAGGAAAGAGAGAGAGAGAAGAAGAGAGAGAGCGCCGCAACAGATGTGAGAGAGAAAGAGAGAGAGAGAGAGAGAGGAGAGATGAGAGGGAGAGAGAGAAAGAGAGAAGAAAGACAAGGACAAGAAAGAGAGCGACAACGAGGGAGTGTGAGCCCGAGCGAGAGGTGAGAGGAGAGGAGAGCGTGAACTGGAGAAGTAGAGAGAGAGGGAGAGGGAGAGAGAGAGAGAGAGAGAGAGAGAGCAAGTGGATCGAGCGACGGAGAGAGAGGGCAGAGGAGATGTAGCGCGAAGGAAGAGATTAGCAAGAGCGAGAGAAACGAAGAGAAAGAATGAGAGACAACGATGTGAGAGCGACGCGGCGAATGGGAGGGTGCTCGTTGATTCGTTTTGCCCCTGAGTAGCATCAGAAAACCTGCCGTTCAGGTGAGCGCTGTCGCTCTGCGGCATTGTTTATGTTAACTAGCTGTGTTGTCACGGATAGAGCAGTTTATGTACTATGTGTGCCGTAAATAGCCTTGTTTATGTTAAACTAGTTGTTGTTGTCACGTCCGCGTAAGTTATGCAGCATTGTTTATTTGCTTTAAAACTAGTTTGGTTGTCACGCGGTAAATGCAGCCATTGTTTATGTTAAAACTAGTTGCGTGTTCACGGTAAATAGCCAGCATTGTTTATGTTAAAAACTAGTTGGTTGTGCCGTAAATAGACAGCTTGTTTATGTTAAACTAGTTTGCGTTGTCACGGTTAAATAGCCAGCCATTGTTTATGTTAAAACTATTGCGTTGTCACGGTAAATAGCAGCATTGTTTATGTTAAAACTAGTTGTGTTGTCACGGTAAATAGCAGCATTGTTTATGTTAAAACTAGTTGTGTTGTCACGGTAAATAGCAGCATTGTTTATGTTAACTAGCTGTGTTGTCACGGTAACTAGCAGCATTCTTTATGTTAACTAGTTGCGTTGTCACAGTAACTAGCAGCATTGTTTATGTTAACTAGTTGCGTTGTCACGGTAAATAGCAGCATTGTTTATGTTAACTAGCTGCGTTGTCACGGTAACTAGCAGCATTGTTTATGTTAACTAGTTACGTTGTCACGGTAACTAGCAGCATTGCCAGGCGGTCTCCTCGCTCTAATAAGGCCGTCATTGGCCGCGGCGTCTGTTGCAGAAGAAGCATCTAGTTCTCTCAGCCCCTCACCCATCGCCACTCTCCGCTCATCGTGGATTCCTCGGATGTCGCCACTTTTCCCGCGCAAACCAGTGGCTGCAAGAGCACGGCAAGGAGCCAATCGACTGGACGCATCACCCCGCCTCGCCGTGACGTCACCTTCGTCGCATCCTGACATCGCGAGTGGCGCGACATAATCGTGGCAGGTTGACGGGAATCTGAACTATCTGTGTGTCGATACTGAAGACTCGTTGTCAGAAACGTCATGGATAATTGTGGCTGTCGTAAGCGTGACGTCTCATAACGTTTTCACGAGACTTTGTGTGTGAATGTTGTGACGTCGTGATTCCGTAGCTATGTGTGATGTTTCTTACGATAGGGCCCGGTTCTTTTATTGTCGTGCTTTTTTTTACTTTCTGATTTTCTATGTGTGCATGTGTTTTGTGTGTGTGTGTGTGCGCGTGTGTGTGTGTGTGCGTGCGTGCGTGCGTGTCTGTGTCTGTGCTCATGCGTGTGTATGCTCGTGCATACGTATGTGTGTGTGTGCGTGTGTAGTATGTGCGTGCATGTGGTGTGCGTGCATGCATGTGGTGTGCATGCGTGCGTGCGGATGTGAGGCGAGTATGCACTTGCGTGGCTCTTCCTCTCATAGTAGTTACCATAGTCGATTGCCTGTATGCTATCATGTTGTATGCTATCATGGGTACGTTCATCTAAAATCATTGTCTATGATCATAACAATATCAATAATTTGTCTCAAATTTTGTGGTAAATCCTTCGATTGCATGAAGTTGATGTAGTTGGGTTGTAGCTTCATTTTGGTTATTTTATAGTTTGGTTACTTAATTTTTTTCACTGGCTGTACTCCGAATAGTTTAATTTAGTTGACAACGGAACAGGCGGTTGAAACCATAGCATTAGTCAGTTAGGATTTATCACAAAATTAAACTGTTATTTGAACTAGTCTTAAGTTCTTGTGAGGATGTTTGATGATGTTATTCCAAGACCTAAATAATGTTGTTTTAATGACGCCATGAGAGATGTTGGAGTTGACTAGATCTGTATCAACACCTACAGTTTGTGCAGTCACTGGCTGCCTCTGTCTTGGATGTAACGAAGCGTTATGTACTTTTTAGCCGTAGTGTTTGATGGCTTAATATGTGATTTTCCTTATTTACTTATCAGGCAAACTCACAATGGCATAATTTCAAGGTTAACAGTTTGGTTATAAATTGTCAGATATGGAGGCAGGAAATTATTATTACCATCTTTAATCGTTGAAGGGGGTCCTTAGGTGTTAATTTGTTTATCTATTAAATCCTAATATTTCATGAGTGGATTAGCAGGTAGCATCAAATTCTGTTTGATATTTTGACACGTTTACAATATTGTATCTGTATGAACAATTCAATCATGATTCATGATGACGTATAAAATGCAACGTTGGCGTATAAAAGTTACATTATAGTACCTAATAGCATTTACATATAGACAATGTCAAGAGCTAATAATACATAGAACCCCCTATGGTGTCCTAGGGGAGTCATTAGTAGTCCTCCTGTACTTTTCAAATCTGAAAGCCTGTATACATATATTTATGTGTCAGTGTGCAGCAGCTAGCGTGCGGTGTACTTGTGTGTTGCAGATGAGCTTTTGACCGGCACTTACAGGTAATTATAGGTGAAATAGAGTAGAGAAACATTAAGACTTTAGTAGTAAACAGTACTAAATACATTTCGTGTTTATTTACCCTTTTTTTATGAGACGTTCCAAGTGCATGTGGGGCTACATGATAGGCAGTGTATATGTTAATTATCTAAATAATATTTCAATTAATTATAACAATGCGGTAAATTCTATACAAGTTTGTATACTACTATCTACACTCAGGTAGTGATAAAGAAGTCCAAGCGTGAGAGTAAGAGTGACAGTGACGTGGGATATAGCGCACCAGCATATCAGCACTCCGCACAGTCGGAGAAGCAACTATCTCCTGAACAGAAGCAGCGAGCGAGCATGAACAAGATGCTGGCTGCTGGCAAGCTGCTGGCGAGAAAAACTCATGGCGTGCTATCGGGCGTGGGACCTTCGTGGCAGATGGCGCTTGAAACAGAATTTTCAAAGCCGTATTTCCTGAAGGTGCATTCATTACTTTACGCTCGCATAGTATATCAGTCACCAGATGGTGCGTTTTTATTCATGGCTATTAATTAAGGTATAATAATAGTTGTCAATTTATAGTTGTTTGTAATCTGACAGTTTTATTCCAAGAGGGAGCACCCTGCAGCATTTCAATTAGCAGGAAAAATGAATGGAAATATCAGTATTAATACTCATTGCTGTGACTATGGTTAACCTACATTGTCTAAGACTGGGGCTACATGGCGTGGTACTGCAAAGTTTTCTAAAACTGCATGTATGTTTGTAATGACATGTTTAATCTTGGCATTTAGCACTTTACAAATATTATAGTTGAACTCCTCGTCCTGATAATTGTTTTTGTAGCTGTGCGAATTTGTTGAGAACGAAAGATTGACGCACACTGTCTATCCATCTGCCGGGCAAGTCTTCACATGGACCAACATGTCTGACATCAGTAACGTAAGAATCTTTTTTTTATCCGCGTAGAGAAGTTAACTACCATTTACTTGTTCTAGCTTTGTGAGCTTTTTGCATGCAAGCTCAGTCCCGGTTGTAGGTCTATCGGTTGGTGATCGACCCAAGCTGGTATGTTTTATTTTTACTACAAACGTGTTTTGACTTTATGACACAGGGAAAAGTATATAATATTAAGTACGAGCCATTGCAAATTGCTTTTGTATTTGCAGATCAAAGTTGTGATACTAGGGCAGGATCCATATCATGGTGCAGGCCAGGCACACGGTGGGACTATAAATGTTTATAAATTAATCATTTGATTAGTTTAAATTTGATAATTGGATCCATCATGTCTCTACTCATGTCACACGTGTTTGGTTAATTGTTGCTAACATTATTGTAAGTAGAGTGTATATTCTTACTTATAGTCAGTTAATTGTCTTTATACAAAGCCTAGAAACTTTTTGTGTAATTTCAGGTCTCTGCTTTAGTGTACCGCATGGCATACAACCACCACCAAGGTAGGGCATTCTTTAGTTGTGTAGAGTGTATGTAGAGTATATACGCTGTCTTGTTTGTAGACAGTACATGATGAATATCAGAAAATCAGCTGATGTTTTATAAAATATAGTTTAGCGTAAAGGAGAGAAAATTGAAACTTAGGATGTAAAATCACACGAGCATATCGATAAGATCAGGCGCTTCTAAGTTCTATACTTGCTTTTGCATTGCATTTCAGTTTGCAAAACATATTCAAAGAGCTATCAACAGACATTGAGGGATTCTCCCATCCAGGACATGGAAATCTGAGTGGGTGGGCTGAGCAAGGTACGTAGTATCTATACATATGGCAAGACCATAACACATATATGAAATGAACGACTAAGCATGCATATACATTAATTGGCTTGACCCAGGGCTTGCATGCCTTGTGATCTAGAATCTAATGCTGTTATTAAACGATTGCATACTGAGTGAAATTTCCGCAGGAGCACAGGTAGGAAAAAGACCATGTCATACGTTCCTTAGTTCTTAAAATAATGCAGCCAACAAAATAATTATTTCCCGTTATATACCCTATTGATAACAGTTCAGGGGCTTGATCAGGCTTCAGAATAGCATCACCGCACTATTCACATATTTAATTGGCATCACGTTTGTTAGCAAAACTTCATTGGTGTTGCTAGTCGAAGTATCCGCTTGATGTGCATCGTTTTTTATGTCACCCTTTTCAGTCATTCAGTTCGTGACAAACCCCACATAAGGAAAGTGTTTGATCTCTTGTTACATGTATGGCTCGTATCAGCGATCTTACAAGCAAACTTAACTTTAAACTTTTTACAGAATTTACTTTGTGTTGGTTTTAACTTTGAAAATCTTACGTATCTGTCCCATCTTGTTCTAAAACCTCGAGAAAATTGGGAATCGCTACAGTGCGCGCTCGATGTCTGCAGGCGTGCTGTTGCTGAATGCTGTGCTAACAGTTCGTGCAGCCAGCGCTAACTCTCACAAGGACCGGGGCTGGGAGATACTGACAGACGCTGTCATTGCCTGGCTCAACTCCCACCTCACCAGCGTCGTCTTTCTCCTCTGGGGAGCCTACGCGCAGAAGAAGGGCGCCTGTATAGACAAGGTAAGAGTGGATTTGCCTCTTATTCGCTCACTTTCACTAGCGGGACTGCGGAGTCTTTAAGTCGGGAACCTCCCTGCCTGTAAAACAATGATCTAATCTGGAGCGTCCGTGATTGTTACGTTCATAGTAAGTGGATTTCCTCACGAGCGTGGCAGCTTCAGAAGCTGCCGCTGCTGGTATGCGGCTGCCACACTCGCAGCAGAAATCCACGTACTATGAACGTAATATTATATTCATGGATGCTCGAGATTAGATAATTGTTAACAGGCAGTCCGTTAGCAGTCCCTGGTTAGTACGTGTGAGTCCGTGGTTAATACGTGTGTTTGGCAACAAACTGTAATTAGCTGCTAATTTGGTCCGTAATAGTCCGTGGCTCTCTGTGCGTTTTGCACCATTTATGTGGTTAGTTCGTGTATTATCCATTTATGTCAGTTCATAATATGGAAGTGTGGAACCAAATTTGAACTCTGGTATCTGCTGATCTGCTGTTTGATGATACTAATACTTCATAGCCAGCCAGTTATATTGTTAACATAGATGACACCTCTCTGATAGTTGCGCTTTCATTAGCCGTGTGTTATCTGATGTTCTGCTATCGTATTGTAACAAGTTGCATTTTTAGCTCATCTGACATAGTCAGATTGCAGCTTGTAGAATCGCATTGAGCGTGCGTCGCCGTCCGTTCCGCCGTCCGTGCGTCAACAGTTGGTGCAGCAAAATCTAAACGGCTCGACGTACGGATTCGAAGTCGGACGTGGGGGGTAATCGACGACAACAGAGTCTGGGATGTCGAAGCTGGGGGTCAAAGGTCAAAGGTCAAAGAGTGTAAAAGAAGGGGGAACATTCCCTCCTAACTTAAGGTTATAGAGAGGAAATGCAGAATTGCGGCACAAATCTAAACGGCTCGACCTAGCGTCGTGATAGTCGGTGTATAGCAATCATTGGTAGGAAAAGCCATCACTGTGCCGAAATTGGAGGTCACCAGGTGCAAAGGTCAATGGGGCACAGGGCAGATTTTAGACATTTTCTGAGGACATGGTGTGACCGAGCGATTGGAAAACTTTTTTGTTCAGCGGGGACCTAGCATTTTATGGCTTTATTGAAAAGGACATGAAATGTGCTTTCACTGACGTGCGAAGAGTAAGTGTCTGGATAACCTTTTGACCCACAAGAGGAGGGATTTAAACATGGATTTGTTAACTGTTACTGTGTTAGAAAGAATTTGACTGCTGGGTTTGCTAGTAGAATCTATACATGCCTGGATGTATGAGGCTACAATGTCACAGTGAAATTTCAAAAGCTAACTTTGCTTGAAGAAGGTTTATGCTCTTAAATCGTATAATTTCTATGGCATTCTGTACTGTCAGTGTGTTAATATGCCACTGCCAGTGGCCACTGCCAGTGCATTGTGGTGGTGATAGTATGGTGTAGTTTTTGCCTGCGTTAATTAGGCTACAGGTGCAGCTCTCTTATTCCAGCCTGTAGGCTTGTGTAGGTAAATGGACGAGTGCTTACCTATTCTGTCTTGCAAATAGTTGTTACTATACTACGTACGATGGAAGCTTCCAGCTACCAACGTACGCGCCATCTCGTGGCAACTTTCATAATGACCCAACGAACATTTCTTCAAGAAGCTCCTGATTACACCATCCAGTAGTTTTGAAATAAGGGCTATCCGTTTGTTCGTACTTGTCCATTTCCATGGAGGACAAGTAGATCTGTCAGGTAACGCTTTGTCTGCTGACAAGCAGCTTTTAGAGCAATTTTTCATAATTTTCTACCAATCGCTGGCCGCTGCTGGCAAACACGCAGTTAACATAGTATATAACATGGGCTGCCGGAGTGCCACCCGAATTAACATATACTATAGTATAAACATTTATGTGAAGTTATATAAAAACGTTACCGCCTTGCTAGCTCCACGAAACGGTCTTGCTAGGGTTAGAAGACATCAGACAATCAGTCTGATAGACAATCAGACGTCTGTATAGACAATCAGTCGTACAGCCTCGTCCGCAGCGCTACCGCTCCGAGAAAGAGAAATTGAGAGAGAGGGAGAGAGAGAGCGAGGGTGAAGAGAGTGAGAGAGAGAGCGCGAGAGAGAGAAAGAGAGAGAGAGAGGAAGAGAGAGAGAGAGATAGTGAGAGAGAGAGAGAGAGAGAGAGAGAGAGAGAGAGAGAGAGAGAGAGAGACGAGGGAAGAGAGGAGAGAGTGATAGAGAGAGCCGAGAGCGAGAGAGAGAGAGAGAGAGAGAGAGAGAGAGAAAGAGAGAGAGCGCGGCAAAGAGTGAGAGAGAAAGAGAGAGAGAGATAGAGAGAGAAGAAGAGAGAGGAGAGAGAAAAGAGAGAAAAGACAAAGACAAAGAAAGAGAGCGACAACGAGGGAGTGTGAGCGAGCGAGAGTGAGAGGTGAGGAGAGAGCGTGAAGGAAGAAGAGAGAGAGAGAGAGAGAGAGAGAGAGAGAGAGAGAGAGAGAGGTGATCGAGCGAGAGAGAGAGGGAGAAGAGAGCGCGAAGGGAAGAGATAGCAAGAGCAGAGAGAACGAAAGAGAAAGAATGAGAGACAACGAGGGAGAGCGAACGCGCGGCGATGGGCGAGGTGCTCTTGATTCGTTTGCCCTGAGTTTAGACATCAGAAAACCTGCCGTCAGGTGAGCGCTGTCGCTCGTCCGGCACTTGTTATGTTAACTAGCTGTGTTGTCACGGTAAATAGCAGCATGTTTATGTTAAAACTAGTTGTGTTGTCACGGTAAATAGCAGCATTGTTTTATGTTAAAACTAGTTGTGTTGTCACGGGTAAATCAGCATTGTTTATAGTTAAAACTAGTCGTTGTCACGGTAAATAGCAGGCATTGTTTATGTTAAAACTAGTTCGTTGTCAACGGTAAATAGCAGCATTGTTTATGTAAAAAAACTAGTTGCGTGTCACGGTAAATAGCAGCATTGTTTATGTTAAAACTAGTTGCGTTGTCACGGTAAAATAGCAGCATTGTTTAGTGTACAACTAGTTGTGTTGTCACCGGTAAATAGCAGCAATTGTTTATGTTAAAACTAGTTGTGTTGTCACGGAACTAGCAGCCATGTTTATGTTAACTAGTTGTGTTGTCACGGTAAATAGCAGCATTGTTTATGTTAACTAGCTGTGTTGTCACAGTAACTAGCAGCAATTGTTATGTTAACTAGCTGTGTTGTCACAGTAACTAGCAGCATTGTTTATGTTAAAACTAGTTGTGTTGTCACGTAACTAGCAGCATTGTTTGTGTTAAAACTAGTTGCGTTGTCAGCGGTAACTAGACAGCATTGTTCATGTTAAAACTAGTTGTGTTGTCACACGGTAAATAGCAGCATTGTTATGTTAACTAGCTGTGTTGTCACAGTAACTGGCAGCATTGTTTATGTTAACTAGTTGCGTTGTCACGGTAACTAGCAGCATTGTTCATGTTACACTATATATATAATATAGTTGCGTTGTCACGGTAACTAGCAGCATTGTTTATGTTAACTAGTTGCGTTGTCACGGTAACGTAGCAGCATTGTTTATGTTAACTAGTTGCGTTGTCACGGTAACTAGCAGCATTGCCAGGCGTCTCCTGCGGCTCTAAATAAAAGGCCGCTCATTGCCGCGTCGTCTGTTGGCAGAAGAAGCATCTAGTTCTCTCAGCCCCTCACACCATCGCACTCTCCGCTCATGGCGTGGATCCTCGGATGTCGCCACTTTTCGCGCAACCCAGTGGCTGCAAGAGCACGGCAAGGAGCCAATCGACTGAGCGCCATCACCCCGCCTCGCCGTGACGTCACCTTGTCGGCATCCTGACATCGCGAATGGCGCGACATAATGCGGTTGACGGGAACCTGAACTGTCTGTGTGTCGATACTGTCAAAGACTCGTTGTCAGAAACGTCAGGGATAATTGTGGCTGTCGTAAAGCGTGACGTCTCATAACGTTTTCACGAGACTTTGTGTGTGAATGTTGTGACGTCGTGATTTCGTAGCTATGTGTGATGTTTCTTACGATAGAGCCGGTTCTTTTTATTGGGTTGTTTTTTACCTTCTGATTTTCATGTGTGCATGTGTTTTGTGTGTGTCGGTGCGCGCGCGTGTGTGTGTGTGTGCGTGCTTGCGTGGCGTGTCTGGGTCTGTGCTCATGCGTGTGTATGCTCGTGCATACGTATGTGTGTGTGTGCGTGCGTAGTATGTGCGTGCATGTGGTGTGCGTGCATGCATGTGGTGTGCGTGCGTGCGTGCGGTTGTGAGGCGAGTAGCAGCTTGCTGTGCTCTTCCTCTCATAGTAGTTACTGCATATACGAGTGCCTGTATGTTTA